TATCCACCCACCCACCCACCCACCACCAAACCACCATCCATCCATCCATCCATCCATCTATCATCCATCCATCCATCCATCCATCATCTATCTATCTATCTATCTTTCTATCTATCTATCCATCCATCTATCATCCATCCATCAATCCATCCATCCATCCATCCATCCACCTATCATCCATCCATCAATCCATACCTACATCCATCCATCCATCCATTTATCATCCATCCATCCATCCATCCATCCATCCATCTATCATCCATCTATCATCCATCCATCCATTCATCTATCATCTATCTATCAATCCATACATGCCTACATCCATCCATCCATCCATTTATCATCCATCCATCAATCCATACATACATACATCCATCTATTATCCATCCATCCATTCAACCATCCATCCATCCATTCAGAACTTTAAAACAAACCATAATTCATAGTTTTTCTTGACAGAATTAGCTTTTCCAGTTAAAATGACAGTTCTGTGAATTTCTTTCGGTTTCAACATCAGTTTTAAATCCAGGAAATGAACTGGAATGTGAACGTCACTCTCAGTTCAGTCCTGAATGGCGCACAATGAAGCACAATGCTGCTGTTGGCATGTTCCTGACGGAGGTGTAGGATGTGAAACACAGGAGTAACGCGCAGCTGTCAGCTGTCTAAACCGTACTTCAGAGCCGAATCCAATCACAATTATCGTCCCTCCATCTACTGTATGTTAAAAGGCTAATTGCTTGACTGCTGCAGTATTCACTTTGTGTGAGACATGAACAATAGTGACAGAGGAGCACCGCTGGCTAGAGAACAACATCTCCTCTCGTCTCTGCTCACTGTTTTGCTTTCTTCTTGAACTGAATATTAGAGCGCAGCGGTTAGAGTGTGTGTTACCACTCACAAAAGGGAAAAGAACAAACAGAAGATGTGGGAGATCTTTGCACCTCCCCTGCAGCCAATCAGAGAGCGTCTGAGTAAATACACCTGTGTGTTCCTCACGGTGCCAAACTTGTGCCCACTACACAGCCCACTCTCCTCTCTATGTCTCAGTGTGTGTGGGCCGCCGCAGTCATCAGCAGCGCTCTGTACACGTAACAGCGCATTACTGTGTGAATTTATTATTTGCTATGATTGAGAAGATTACGGCTGGATGACTGTAATTAATCTGAAAGTTTATAAAATGTTTTCTTTTTGCTGAATCCATATGTCTTCTGTATGTTAGCTACTTCATCCCACATAGTGGAAGTGTTTGGTGATTTATCACAGTGATCTTCAAACCTCACATCATAAAACAACGTTATTCCAGATGCACATCTGCATTAAAATGTCAAGGTCAGTAAAGGTTTTTCCAGAGCGAATCACCACATCACCACAGCTGGCCTCGCATGCAGTAGCAGCATGAAAAAATGGAAGGAATGCTAATATAACCGCAGCAACATTAAGGCCTTTTTTTGTTGTTGTTGGCCTGGCCGGGACAGTAGTTTAGATTTCCACTGGCACAGACTAACTAACTAACTAACAAAAAAAAAAAAAATATATATATATATATGTATATATATATACTGTATATACACACACACGCACGCACGCACGCACGCACGCACGCACACACACACACATATATATATATATATATATATATAATACATTTAATAAAAATATACTGTATTATTAAAAAAGAATTTTTGTATTTTTTATTTTCAAGTTTTAAATATATTTTTATATACATTTTTAATATACTTTTTATGCATTTATATACATATTTGTACCTCAAACACAGCTCTCAACATTAAGGGCTTTTTTTGCTGGCCTGCCCACAGTAGCTTAGTTTTTACTAGTTCGATAAACTAACTAACTAACAACATTTTTTTTTTAGTTAAATTTTTTCATATGTATTCAGACTTTTTTAAAACATCAGAGATTTTTTATTTTATATATATATATATATATATATATATACAGTGGGTACGGAAAGTATTCAGACCCCCTTAAATTTTTCACTATTTGTTATATTGCAGCCATTTACTTGTTGGGTCTTTCCCAAAAAGACTCATGGCTGTATTAGATCAAAAGGGTGCTTCTACTAAATACTGAGCAAAGGGTCTGAATACTTAGGACCATGTGATATTTCAGTTTTTCTTTTTTAATAAATCTGCAAAAATGTCAACAATTCTGTGTTTTTCTGTCAATATGGGGTGCTGTGTGTACATTAATGAGGAAAAAAACTTAACTTGAATGATTTTAGCAAATGGCTGCAATATTGTTAAGAGTGAAAATTTTAAGGGGGTCTGAATACTTTCCGTACCCACTGTATATATAAATCTTTCTAAAAAGCTTTTTTAATCTATTTTAATATTATAAAAATATACATTTTTAATACATATTCATACCTCAAGCACAGCTCTCAACATTAAGGTATTTTTTTTCTCTGGCCTGGAAGGGCAGTAATTTACAATAACTTATTAACTAATAAATAAATCAATAAATAAACAAACTAATTTATAATTTTTAGATACATATTTTATGTCTAATTTAGTCTAACTTTTTAAGATCTATTTATATATACTGCATTCATACCTCAAACATGAATCATGAAGTACTACAACTAAATAATACACAAACATGCATTCGCATGTCCAGACATAAAACACAAGTAGATGATCATTGCCACAGCTTAAAGCTACTTAATAACAAAATCAAATAAAAGTGATATTTTAACTAAAAGTGATATTTAAACATTACTCAGCCTTCAAACACAAGGAATCAAAATGTAAGATTTCAAGGAAACTTGATATAAATGCTTAATATATGGATCTGTCCATTATGTCCAAATGAATGTCCGCTGATAAAATATTATCGTACAGCATTTCAGCTGTGTGAAAATAAATGATATTATTCTGTATCTGAAACCTGCTGCCTTGCTGCTTATTCAGATACTGATTTCAGAGAAAGAGTTATGAAAGTACTTCCAATTAAACTGGTTTCAGACTGATTTCCAGAGCACCATAATGTCATGTCTAATAACCTAGAACAAATTCAAGTGAGCTTTAGAGATAAGCAAGTAAATATATTATTACAGCAATCTTACTGTAGAAATGGAATCATAAGTGTGTGTGTGT